AACAGCACCTGTGGTAGCGTCAGTACAGACTGCAGTCCGCCCACCCCCCACGAAGGTAACCGTGATCCCCCTGTCCTGGAGGTATCCAACACCCACCAAGTTCCGAGTGAACGAGGGGATGTGGAGGCCGCGCAGGACACCAGAGGGGACCACAGGGCACGGGAGGGTGGTGGAGCTACGCGCAACGGCTGGTCCAGAGGTAGGATCAGCCATAGCCACCGACACAGGGGTGAGGAGTGGCGTAAGGGTCGTGTGGTCGCGGAAGAAGCACTGAGACGCGCCCGAGTCCAGCGTGAACGACAGAGAGGCCTCAGCCGGAGGGTCACCTGACCCAGTCGCTACACAAGCACCTAGAGCAGCAACACAAGCACCTAAGCTAGACAGGCACAAGGCTACACTAGCAGGAGGCAAGCAGGCTAACCTACGAACACGCGAGCACACAGACCCATCAGCACTAAAGTCAGCATCAACATACGAAGCATGCTGACGCGCATCGTCCATGGACAGATCAAAGACATCAATCTTACGGGCTAACAGACGAGACCAGCGAGGCGTGACCGCCAGAGGGCCCCAACGAGCCCGGTAGAGGTCGTCGAGGCGGCGGAAGCACCGCGCGGCAGAGTGGTCGTCGCGACCACAGAGACAGGGGCTGCCCGGCCCGGTGAGGCACCAGTGGGTGCAGGGGCCAGCGTCACGGCGAGGGGGGCGAGGGGCCCAGCTGGAAGAGCTGCTGCTGCGGCCGGTGCTCCCAGGGCCTCCCGGACCCCACTGCGGCGGGGGACCCCAGTGCTGCTGCGGACCCCACTGCAGCGGGGGCCCCCACTGCTGGAACTGCTGCGGTGCCTGCTGCTGCTGCTGTCCCTGCTGCTGCTGCTGCTGTCCCTGCTGTGGCTGGTGCTGCTGTGGCTGCTGCTGCTGGGGGGCAACGCCCCCACCGGTCGGGCCACCACCTGTGGGTGGGCCTGTCTGTCCTGCACCTCCTCCAAGGCCCCCTCCCCCTTGCGCACCACCGCCGCCGCCGCCGCCGCCTCCGCCACCACCGCCGCTCCCACCTCCACCGCCACCTCCACCGCCACCTCCACCGCCCCCACCTCCCCCCTTCCCGCCCTTCTTGCCACTCTTGCCCCGTTTCTGCCAGTCTGCGGCAGAAACGGCAGCGGTGTCCTCAGAGACCGACACAGCAGCAGAAGCGCGGGTAGAGGTGAAAGTGGGAAGCTGAGGGGCGGCACACCCCGCAAAGAGACGGGGGGCCACCGCATCAGTGGCGGAGGCAACGGCGAGGAGGCTGCTCTCGATGGTCCCGAGAGCAGTCTGAAGGAGGTCTATAGTGAGCTCAGTGGGGTGCTTTTGAAGAAGCGCGTCGCGGGCAGTGGCAAGGCGGTCAGGGAGGCGGGTGACTAACCAGTGCACAGTGAGCCACATGGGGGGGGGAGCAACAAGGAGCTGTGCGTCGGTACAGGCAGCACGGAAACCGGCGTCAAGCGAGCGGAGGTGAGTCACTAGGTCGGAAACAGTCGCAAGCGAGCCTAGGTCGGGAAACACAAACGGCATGAGGAGGCGACTGAGGGAGGCAGAGGAGGGGGTGGAGTAGCGGGCAACAATAGCATCCCACACCCCCTGGGCTGTCTCCACCTGGTCAAAGTGGGCGGCCTCAGTCGGGGGGAGAAGCTCCGACAGTGTGAGAGCGGCGACAGCGTCACGCGAGAGCCACACGTCCCTGGCCAGGACCCGACGGTCGTACTCCGCCTGGGCCGTAGGAGTCGGCTCCGGGGTGGTCGGCAGGGCGGCGGGGGATGGGGGGGCCTGTAGGGCACCAGACGCGTGAGCCCACAGAGTGGCGCCGTCCTGTCGCTGGCTGGTGAGAAAACGTGTGGTCTGGCGCTGCCAGGTACCGAACTCGATCGGGCGTCCCTCAGCATCGAAATGGAGGCGACGGGCCTCCATAGCGGAGCCCATGCTAGTGGTGACTGGAGCACGGCGGAGGCGGAGCTAAGAACGAGGAGGAAAACTACGGCGGGCTAGGGACGCCAGCGGGGAAACCGACGAGAGACAGTCGGCGAGAAAATAGTCGTGGGGCGGGGCTCTAACCGAACCTAGGTGGCGCTACCGGAGGGAAGAGCGGCTGCCAGCCGCTGAGCCGGGAGTCAAGTGCAGTAGGAATGGCGTGGGACCAGGGCACAGGTGAAGGGGAGAGAGATGCAGTAAGCGCACAAAGGGATGCGGTAAGTGCACGCAGGTGGGCGGTAAGGGCACGCAGGTGTGCGGTAAGTGCACGCACGCAGGTGTGCGGTGAGCGCACGCAGGTGTGCGGTAATGTTAAGATTAGGAGATTATGCAGTACTTAGGTTTCGGAGAGGTTTAGCAAGGAGAATCATGGAGGGAGAAGTTTGGCCAAAAGAGAGACTTTCATTATGAAGTTGGGAGTACAAATAGGAAGGAGAGGAAGGGGAAAAGGGTACACCACCAGCAGTTGAACCTAATATCTAACTAATACACTAGCAAGCTGTAGGCAGTTATAACAGGATATGCAAATATAATTCAACACACCCCCGTAATTGCCTACGGCTATAGCTAGTGGTGTCTGGCACCAGGTCGCCTGGAGAGCGGTTGCTGTAGCTGGGATAGGCACAGAAACAGCGGTGGCTGACCGGCAGCACCTGTGAATGCCAGGACGGAGGAGGGCGCGGAGAGCGCGGAGGAGGGCTGGGATAGCCGGAGGGCGAAGGATGCCGGTCGCTCGCCATCTACGAGCAAACACAACTGTTGGTGAGGAGGAGGAAGCTGGTGGTGGTGCACAGGAGGAGAGCAGAGGAGAGGCGGCTGGAGGAGAGGAGAGAGGAGGAGGAGATGCGGCTGTAGGAGAGGAGAGTGGAGGAGGAGATGCGGCTGGAGGAGAGGAGAGGAGAGAGGAGGAGGAGATGCGGCTGGAGGAGAAGAGGAGAGGAGAGGAGAGGAGAGGAGAGGAGAGGAGGTGGCTGGCGCGGCAGAAGCTCTCCCGCCACCCCCTCATCCCCCTCCCCCCCATGCGCTGGCGCTGGCGGAAGTGCTGGCGCTGGGCGCTGGCGTCGCGCTGGCGCTGGCGCCCGCCCTTGGCGCTGGCGCTGGCGCCCGCCGTCGGCGCTGGCGTCCGCGCTGGCGCTGGCGACCGCCGTTGGCGCTGGCGCTGGCGCCCGCCGTTGGCGCTGGCGCTGGCGCCCGCCGTTGGCGCTTGCGCTGGCGCCCGCCGTCGCCTCGCTGGCACGCTCGCCACTGGCAGAGCGCGACGGGGCAGGCGAAAGGGGGCAGCGCGACGGGTGCTGCAAAAGCAGCGGATTTCGAGCCAGCAGCGGATTTCGCGCTACTAGCAGTAACAGCCATGCCAGCAGCACAATAAGTCGCCATGGCAGATCGCGGGTTTGGTGGGCCCATGAAAAACGAGGTCCTAGGAGGGACCACTCTCTGATATCATGTTAAGATTAGGAGATTATGCAGTACTTAGGTTTAGGAGAGGTTTAGCAAGGAGAATCATGGAGGGAGAAGTTTGGCCAAAAGAGAGACTTTCATTATGAAGTTGGGAGTACAAATAGGAAGGAGAGGAAGGGGAAAAGGGTACACCACCAGCAGTTGAACCTAATATCTAACTAATACACTAGCAAGCTGTAGGCAGTTATAACAGGATATGCAAATATAATTCAACAGGTAAGTGCACGCAGGTGTGCTGGAAGTGCACGGACGCAGGTGTGCAGTGAGCGCACGCAGGTGTGCGGTAAGTGCACGCAGGTGTGCAGGAAGATTTACGGAGGAGGGCGCGCGACAGGCGGAGGGAAGGGCACGCGACGGTCTAAGGAGGGCGCGCGACGGTCTAAGGAGGGCGCGCGACGGTCTAAGGAGGGCGCGCAACGGTCGAAGGAGGGCGCGCGACGGTTTAGGAGGGCGCGTAACGGTGGGAGAGGGCGCGCGGTGGTCTAAGGAGGGCGCGCGACGGGCTTGACAGCGCGGGAGGGCGCGGGCTAGGCGCGCGGAGGGCGCGGAGGGCGCGAGAGCACGGAGGGCGCGTAGGGCGCGGAGGCTAGCTAAGACCGAACGAGGATCTAACCTACTCGTGATACCATCTCAGAATAGGAATGCAACGGAATGGTCAAACTAGGAAGTGTGGAAGTACAAATATGCAACCCTAACAACTGTACTCCCTATTGTGCTACTCACTGTAGCCTACAAGCATAGAATTACATTTGACAGTCTACGGCATCAGATGAACCAGTAAAAATGTGTTCAGAATCCAGAAATTCAGACCAAAAATTTCTGATGAAGTAAGCCCTGACCACGAGTCGTTTTGAGAACCTTCGGCCATCCGTACGCGATATACATGGCTTCGACGTGAAGCCGTTTTATCTGTTTTTCTTTACTGTCAAAAGGAAAAATAGGGCTAGAACGTAAATGTCGGACATTCAACAACAGGATCGTGATCTCATGGCAGCTCGAACGCGAGACGACTAGAGGAGTGCTTATCTCCAGAACACCCCCCATGATGAACCTACTAATATAGCAAGAGCGAGTCGATTCTGCATTATTGTCAGCACACAAACAAGATAGAGGAACTAATGATGTTTTCCTGTATCGACCCTGAGGCAGTGGTCGCCAGTTCGTGAGAACAAAGGCAGTAACAGCAGTGACATGCTAACATTACGCGTAGTACCTGGAAAGCTGGAAAGGCCTGACACTAAGCTCCGCCAAACAGCTCATAGTCGCGACCAAGAGCCTGAGTCATGCAGCTATCATTTGCTGCAATGCCATTCAGACCTGACAAGACCTCTCTGCTCGAGAAAGTTGACATAATATTTATGTTATTTAAAAAATACTTCTCAGAAACATAATACAGAAGCCGAATACAGGTCATACAACGTTATCACTCTGTAAGTTGAAACCCACAGTTGAAGAAAACTAGTCAGTGCATTATTCCTAAAAGCATGTGCGGCATGAAAAACTTTGTACCAAGCCACAAACCAGAAACTAACTTCGGACTAAGCTTCTGAGGTCTCGCCCTTGTCAGCCGATGATTTCTTCGGAAGTAGGACGGACTGAATGTTTGGTAAAACACCACCAGCAGCAATGGTAACCGCTCCCAATAGCTTGCTGAGCTCCTCGTCGTTTTTCACGGCCAGCTGAATGTGTCTCGGAACGATGCGAGTCTTCTTGTTGTCTCTGGCTGCGTTCCCGGCAAGCTCCAAAACCTGAAAGAAAGTGGGCCAAAAGGTTAAGTACTATAATCTCTCAAGCGCCATGAGGGAAGACGCAAAATTCACTGATGACGGCATACGCACCTCAGCAGCTAGGTATTCGAGGACTGCAGCAAGGTACACTGGAGCACCGGCACCAACCCGAGTGGCATACTTTCCAGCCTTGAGGAAACGGGCTATACGACCCACAGGAAACTGAAGACCTGCCTTTGCTGACCTGCTCACTGCCTTCTTTCCAGCAGCCTTTCCTCGGCCTGACATGGTTCTAGGAGATGAAAGTCGTGAAGCGAAAAGTATCGGCAGAAAGCTACTAGCTCAAGAGAGATAGGTACACAATGTCTTGGAAAGCCGAATATGGACTGTGCTGTGACAGAAACTTGTGATCAACAGCAATGGAGGAGCGAACTTTATTAACAACGCTATGGGGCGAGGAGGAGAGGATGACCCAAACACACAAAGCTATCAACCAATCGCGTCAATATTTACGGATTGACAAACGCTCCGTCGGATTACGATTGCTTCGAAACAATCGACGGTAGCACGAGATCCACGCTGCTGCCACTGGTCGGAAACCATTTTGCGAAAATATGATTTCGAACATGCAAATCAACCGTTACGATACAGCTTATCAAACTACAAGCTTCAGCAGCCTAAACAAAGTTGTATTGTCATAGTCAAACCTTTGTATTGAAGATTACATTTACAGGCCTGCTTTCTGATAGCTTTATTTGTCACAGAAACTGGCTGGACACTGCTCAATTTGGTCTGCGGTGCAATTTGCAGTTGGACGTGTGAAAGCCTATGCACTGTACATCAATATGCTGGTGCGTCACTCGTTTTGTCCAAGCAACAATTAGCATCACTGACCATGCATGGTAAAGCTCGATTCATAGCTCTCGCCTTGTTTTCCAATCCACCTTGTGGTTATTTAGATCGTTGAAAGAGCTTGGGGCCTGGGGATACCTACAACACATTCCCTCGCCTCATGGCATCACAGCCTGATATTCACTGACTCCTTTACTGTACAATCATGCATTCAACGTATTACAGCATTTGGAAGGTCAAAGAGCACCAAATACCGGTAAGTGTCAACATGGTCCTTGTCTCGAGCCCCTACCGTACTCGAGCATGTACGCATTTGGAAAGAGAGGCCCGTGTTGCTACCAGGAACCACTGTACTTATCAGGCACTGCGTTCTGAAAATGGGCGTAGTTCCACTCTATGTTCAGCGCAAATGGCTTCGATATTGTCACTCCCTCTGCTGTTACTTTTGAAATCTGCATGGACAGACAGCATTCAACAGAAGCGGTGCAACGTTAAAACCAAGCAAAAAAAATAAAGGAAGGACAAAAAGAGTACAGAGAATAATCACAAGGCTCCACACATACATACTAGGAATATACTGCGAACTGAAACAAGTTCACCAACCTGGAATCTGTTGAGTGCGCTGCTGTCGCACGCATACAGCACTAGTAGCCCCTTCAACAGCAGCTTCACTGCCCCCCCCTCACTCACATCAATGCAATCACTTTAATTTGTTCTCAAAAGCGATTCTGTCTACATTACAACATTTAACCATTCCACCAACCTGGAATTTGTTAAGCGCGCTGCTGTCGCGGGCGTACAGCACCCTCAGCCCCTTCTCCAGCAGCTTGACTGCCTCCTCCTCACTCATGTCGTTGCGGTGCTCGTTGCGGAAGAGCGGGCGCACCATGTGGCTGCCAAAGCCCGTTGCTATGTGGTCGTCCGTGAAGTGAACGCCAATCATTGTCACCTGGAAGAGGGAAATGCGTGCACGGGAGGGCAAGGGATGTGGTGGAGGGGAGGATGGGGGAGGAGGGAATTGGGGAGAAGAACGAAGTTAGTGTGGAAAAGGCAAATGAAACTTCACTGCCTCTCCAGCCGCTTGACTGCCTCCTCCTCACTCATGTCGTTGCGATGCTCGTTGCGGAACAGCGGTCGCACCAGGTGGCTTCCAAACCCCGTTGCTATGTGGTCGTCCGTGAAGTGAACGCCAATCATTGTCACCTGGAAGAGGGAAATGCGTGCACGGGAGGGCGAGGGAGGTGGTGGAGGGGAGGATGGGGGAGGAGGGAATTGGGGAGAAGAACGAAGTTAGTGTGGATAAGGCAAATGAAAATTCACTGCCTCTCCAGCCGCTTGACTGCCTCCTCCTCACTCATGTCGTTGTGATGCTCGTTGCGGAACAGCGGTCGCACCAGGTGGCTGCCAAACCCCGTTGCTATGTGGTCGTCCGTGAAGTGCACTCCAATCATCGTCAACTGCACTGCACTACCGGGCATCATAGGGGTTGGGAGGTGCGGAGGCCAGGACTGGAGAGAAGAAAGGGGTAGGCGTGGAAAAGGCTGACAATTTCCCAGCATGTGAAGTGGGCGTGTAGTGCATTTTGATCACTATCACCTGGACCATGCATGAATGGGTTGGGTGGGGGGTGGTGGAAGGGAAGGGGGGATGGGGAGGGTGGGCTTGTACGGGGCTGGGGAGCAAAACGGAGAGGTGAGGCCAAGCTTTGAAATGTGGACACTGGACCGAGCAGCAAGGGTACAGGTACTGATACAGGAGCACTGCTAGACAGCACATTAAGCACGTGTATTCAATCCATCGCACCGATCTGACCGAACCGAGGAAGGACTCACCCTTGTCGGGCCCGCCAATGACAATGGATTCCAGAGCAGTTCAAAGCGGTTGCATTTCATTGAACAATGGATTCCAGAGCAGTTCAAAGCGGTTGCATCTCATTGAACAATGGATTCCAGAGCAGTTCAAAGCGGTTGCATCTCATTGAACAATGGATTCCAGAGCAGTTCAAAGCGGTTGCATCTCATTGAACAATGGATTCCAGAGCAGTTCAAAGCGGTTGCATCTCATTGAACAATGGATTCCAGAGCAGTTCAAAGCGGTTGCATCTCATCGAACAAAGGATTCCAGGCGCTGTGGAAGGAAGTCCATTGTTGAGGCACCACATAGCGAATCTCACCAAGCCGAGACGGGTCCGCCCTTGTCGAGCCCCCAGATGACAATGGAGTTCCAGAGCGGGTCGAAGCGGTTTCACTGCATTGTTGAGGTGCCTAACACACAGATTACATTTCCAGGCACCAAGTACAGGGATTCAGATGCCCCACGAACGAATCTCACCGAGCCGAGGAAGGGTTCGCCCTTGTCGAGCCCCCCGATGACGATGGAGATCCAGAGCGGGTCGAAGCGGTTTCACTGCATTGTTGAGGTGCCTAACACACAGATTCTATTTCCAGGAACCAAGTACAGGGATTCAGATGCCCCACGAACGAATCTCACCGAGCCGAGACGGGTCCGCCCTTGTCGAGCCCCCAGATGACAATGGAGTTCCAGAGCGGGTCGAAGCGGTTTCACTGCATTGTTGAGGTGCCTAACACACAGATTCTATTTCCAGGCACCAAGTACAGGGATTCAGATGCCCCACGAACGAATCTCACCGAGCCGAGGAAGGGTTCGCCCTTGTCGAGCCCCCCGATGACGATGGAGTTCCAAAGCGGGTCAAAGCGGTTGCGGCGGTTGTACATGACACGTGTCATGTAGTTGAACACCTCTCGTGTGGACAGCACGTGCCCGTCGTCAAATGCGTAGTCGTTCGTGCTGTGCAGTTGAAATGGAAGGGGGGGAAAAGAGGAAGGAACATGTATACAAGGTGGGTTGCGGCGGTTGTACATGACACGCGTCATGTAGTTGAAGACCTCTCGTGTGGACAGCACGTGCCCATCGTCAAATGCGTAGTCATTCGTGCTGTGCAGAGTGGCCAGGGGTTTAGATGGGCGAGGGGGGTATGGGAAAAGGGGGTATGTCTAGATTCGGGTTGCGGGGAATGGGGAAAAGAAAACGTTTTTCCATGGATGGAGGGTGCAGCCGTTGGAAAGGAGGGAGGGCGAAGGAGAAGTGGGGGGGGAGACAAGACGGGGGTTGCAAATGGATCGACCGGAATATATATAATACATGTACGTATATACTGCAAAAAGGGATTACTTACAGGAGCTCCTCGTAGAGCGAGAGGATGAAGTGGAAGTCGCTGATCTCCCCGCCAGCGCCCATCACCGTGTGCGGCGCCACCTGCTGCATGCGCTCCACCGACTTGTACCGCATTGTACGCCCGTATGCTCCTGAAAGAGGTGGGGTCGAAGTGGTGTACATATGGAGGCAGACGCAGCGAGGGGAAACGGGAAGCAAGGAGCGGGATTTAGTGCGGGCAGAGGCGCCCCCTGCTGCATGTGCTGCACCGACTTGTGCGCATGGGGAGGCAGAAACAGCGAGGGGGAAACGGGAAGAATGAAGCAGGGTTTCGTGCAGATGCAGCCACCACTTGCTGCATGCGCTGCACCGACTTGTGCGCATGGGGAGGCAGAAACAGCGAGGGGGAAACGGGAAGAATGAAGCAGGGTTTCGTGCAGATGCAGCCGCCACTTGCTGCATGCGCTGCACCGACTTGTGCGCATGGGGAGGCAGAAACAGCGAGGGGGAAACGGGAAGAATGAAGCAGGGTTTCGTGCAGATGCAGCCGCCACTTGCTGCATGCGCTGCACCGACTTGTGCGCATGGGGAGGCAGAAACAGCGAGGGGGAAACGGGAAGAATGAAGCAGGGTTTCGTGCAGATGCAGCCGCCACTTGCTGCATGCGCTGCACCGACTTGTGCGCATGGGGAGGCAGAAACAGCGACGGGGAAACGGGAAGAATGAAGCAGGGTTTCGTGCAGATGCAGCCGCCACTTGCTGCATGCGCTGCAGCAACTCGTGCCGCATCGTGTGCCCGTATGCTATGCTCCTGCATGGGGTGGGGGTGAGTGATGCATGTAGGGAGGTAGACACGGAAAGGAGGGAGGGTGCGTAAGGGGTTCAGTGAGGGGGAAAAGACACCTGCTGCTTCTTAGGCGCCTCAATAATTCTTGTGGCGCCTCAAGACCTCTGCTGAATTCGGTGAGGCCGGAAACATACCTGGTTACAACACACCCATGCTAATTTCGGCTGAGGCGTCTGCTGACTCACCCATGACATCTTCTGACTCACCCTTGGCGCCTGCTGACCCACCCATGACATCTGCTGACACCCATGGCAGCTGCTGACTCACCCATGGCTCTGCTGACTCAGACACGGAATCTGCTGACTCGAACGCGAAATCTGCTGACTCAAACACGGGATCTGCTGACTCAAACACGGAATCTGCACACTACTAAATGACATCTGATGACTCACCCATGTTGCAGCCGCCATGATGATGCTGTCCTTGTACTTCATCGCAAGCACCGAGGCTGATGCCCATGGTACAACACCCATGCAAATTCCGGCCATGACATCTGCTGACTCACCCATGGCATCTGATGACTCACCCATGGCACCGCTGACTCACCCATGGCAGCTGCTGACTCACCCATGGCATCTGCTGACTCACCCATGGTATCAGCTGCCATGATGATGCCGTCCTTGTACTTCATCGCCAGCACCGAAGCGCCGGTCACGTACGGGTACCTGCGCGCGGGGCGCGTGCGCGCACATGCATGGGACACGAGAAAGGTACAGGTAAGCGATGGGTTGCGAGAGATGAGATGAAGGGATGACTTGGAAGGAAGCAAAAGCGCGGTTGCGAGACGAAGCAGAGAGGTATTTCGGGATAATCCAGGATCATCTAACGTGAATTGTCAGTGAACAAATTGTGAATCTAGAAAAAAATCACGAATTTCGTAAGAGCTCGTGCCAACATAAGGTGACTCAGATGTTGTACGGAACGGTGACGATAAGAGAAATACGACGTGAATGAATGAAAATCTCACATACAAAAAACATCCGTCCCTGCGAAATATCCGTCCTCCCTGCAGAATCACTCACTGCGTGTGCTTGATCGGATCTAGTCCGGAATTTACGGGAACCATCGGGCCGCACACGACGCCAGCGCGCTCACTGCCAGGAACAACCTTCTCGTCCTCTCTAACCTTCCCGTGGCTGCACGTGGGACCGTGGAACATTTCCGGGAGCTGCGGCGGCCCGGGTGGGATGCCGAATCCGCGATAGTCGTGTCGAATCATGCTACTTGGAGATATTAAAGCCGTCAGAGCAACAACAGCAGAGAACCGACGCTGAGATAGAGATTAAGGGCCTGATTAAAATCGACGGTACGACTACTAATTGACTCTGCGATCTGCGGAGTCAACTCTTACTGGGATTTGGCTCGTGTGTGAGAAGGGATGTGACTGGTCAACGTGAAGGGCCGATCCTCGATATAAATTTGGAGGAGCGTGACAGAAACTACATATTCGAATGCTTACATTCATTATCCACTGATACCGAAGGTTCTCTCCATATGTTTATGTGAGCTAAAGCGAAACCAATTAGGCGTTGATTAAGTCAAGAAACCAGAATTTAAATAATCATGCGTTAGCCTTCAATCCCTGCATGACTGTATGGAGATTGGTTTTACTCGTATGCCTGAGAAAGCGCACTCCATAGAACTGGTGTAATTCACAAAGAAATTCACACGTTCGTACCGGCATATAAAGGTTGTCTTTGAGGAACACATCTTTTCGAAACAATGAGTACTCACTTACGTTCTGACGTGTAAACTTTCGCCCACTTGTGAAAGCCACATCTTTCAAGCCTACCACATCTTTCAAGCCTTTTTACTAGCACTCCACATGCCACACGAAAATTGTGAAATTAGACATCGTCGTATACCAAGATGTGGGTGGTATGTGCGAGTCTTACTAGAGGTTGGCCTGATAAGAGGCCATAGGAACATGCCCTGAGATACAGTAATATCAGTGGAAGGAGATCGGTCTGTCAGAGGCTCGGACTTCAGAGGCTGTTTCCAAAGCAACCAGTGCCGAAGTTGGAGGCTCGAGCTCCAGCTCTGGTGATACCAGGGCAACAGGGCAACAGTAGGTACCCTGCCTTGCATTATTTGTTATATCCCCTACAGCACCATCTGGCTGCTCTGGGTCTCCAGGTGCTGCTGAATCAATAGGTTTTCCTGTGAAGTCCTTTGGCTCTGCTGAGTTGACACAACGGGCCAGGGAAGCAGAGGAAGAGGAGATGGAGGATGAGGACGCGGAAGGAGGAGCAGGCAGGAGGGGGGTGGCGCGGGGAGGAAGCGAGGGAGGAAGGCAGGGAGTGCAGAGAGGTGAAGCTGGTAGACGAGGTGATGCCTCGGTTGCTGTGAGCTGCCGGCCACAGGCACGCCTGCAGCTCAGTAAACGCCTCCCTCAGTCGAGCCTGCCGTGCCGCCCGCTCCTCCGCCAGTACCACCTCCCTCCACGTGCTGCCCGGCCCAAAATTTTCCTCACCTGCCCGGCCCGCGCTGCCCGGTTTCTCCAGCCCCACAGGGACAACCACCATCCGAGCTGCCACCACTGGTTTCTTCTGCCCCCAAACCCCCCCTTCCCGTTCCCTCCCCCCTCCGTTTCACCCTCCTCCTCCTTACAATACAGCTCTAGTACACAGGAGGCGTGGGGGTTGACGCGTTTCAAGTCGGTGACTAAGTGGAAAGCCTCTGAATTCAGAAGCAGGTGGCTGCAGATGGCGCCTGTGCTGGGTGGCGTGCTTGTAGGCGGTGTGATTGTAATGGGTGACGTGCCTTCCTTGTAGCCTATCAGCCGGTGAGGATGGTGTGGGAGATGGAAATGGAAAGCGAGAGGAGTGTGGAAAGGTTAGAGTGAAGTCGAATGCGTAAGCTGGTAAGAAACGAATGCCCTCAGCAGAATTAGCTGGCATTGACTCGCGTTGACTCACATTGACTCGCGTTGACTCACCTGTGGCGGGCCGCCCATATGGTTGGTGGAGTAGAGAGTAGCCACGTCCACGAGGTCACAGTATGCCTCCACACTGCAGCATTGACTCACGCTGACTTGCGTTGACTCACCTGAGGCGGGCCGCCCATGTGATTAGTCGAATAAACTGTCGTAACGTCCACGAGGTCACAGTACGCCTCCACGCTGCTGTACTTGCATTGACTGGCATTGACTCACGTTGACTTGCATCAACTCCCACTAACCTGAGGCGGGCCCCCCATGTGATTAGTCGAATAAAGTGTTGCCACGTCCACGAGGTCACAGTACGCCTCCACACTGCTGGCAAACAGCTTGTGCGACCGCAGCTGCTCGTGCACCGGCACTCCCCTATTGGTCAAAGTGGCTCGCCTGGGTCGGTTCAGGGAAGGAGAGCATGACGTGGAAAGACAGGGGGTGGGTGGGACAGCTTGTGCGACTGCAGCTGGTCATGCACGGGCACTCCTGTCGTTGTTAGGATGGCCCACCCGGGATGGCAGAGAGGAAGGCCCAGATGGGAGAGACTTGGGATAGTTACCGTAGACGTTTCGGGCCCCTAGTGTCCGACGCTGAACAATCAAGAAAAAGCTGGACGCTTAGGAAAAGAAAAGTCACCCCACAAATAAAAAGGATGATGTTATTACAGTGATAATAGTTGTTAGTATAATTACTACTATTTGTGTGTGAGTGTGTGTGTGTGCTTTGCCCCAACAATGCTCCCCTCCCCTCCGCATTCCCTAGCTTTTTGGCCTCCCATACCCCTTGGCCGACCCCACGCCCCATGCCTTACCCCACCCCATACACCATTCCACGTCTCACCGCATGCCGCGCACAACAACCAGGTGGGCATCACACACCACGCCCACCAGCACCGCAAGCCCATTCCCATGCCTCCTCCCTGCCGCCCATTCCCATTCTCATGCAATCCCTTAACCCATGCCTCCTCCCACGTCTCACCGCATGCCGCGCACAACAGCCAGGTGGGCATCACACATCACGCCCACCAGCACCGCAAGCCCATTCCCATGCCTCCTCCCTGCCGCCCATTCCCATTCTCATGCAATCCCTTAACCCATGCCTCCTCCCACGTCTCACCGCATGCCGCGCACAACAGCCAGGTGGGCATCACACATCACGCCCACCAGCACCGCAAGCCCATTCCCATGCCTCCTCCCTGCCGCCCATTCCCATTCTCATGCAATCCCTTAACCCATGCCTCCTCCCACGTCTCACCGCATGCCGCGCACAACAGCCAGGTGGGCATCACACATCACGCCCACCAGCACCGCAAGCCCATTCCCATGCCTCCTCCCTGCCGCCCATTCCCATTCTCATGCAATCCCTTAACCCATGCCTCCTCCCACGTCTCACCGCATGCCGCGCACAACAGCCAGGTGGGCATCACACATCACGCCCACCAGCACCGCAAGCCCATTCCCATGCCTCCTCCCTGCCGCCCATTCCCATTCTCATGCAATCCCTTAACCCATGCCTCCTCCCACGTCTCACCGCATGCCGCGCACAACAGCCAGGTGGGCATCACACATCACGCCCACCAGCACCGCAAGCCCATTCCCATGCCTCCTCCCTGCCGCCCATTCCCATTCTCATGCAATCCCTTAACCCATGCCTCCTCCCACGTCTCACCGCATGCCGCGCACAACAGCCAGGTGGGCATCACACATCACGCCCACCAGCACCGCAAGCCCATTCCCATGCCTCCTCCCTGCCGCCCATTCCCATTCTCATGCAATCCCTTAACCCATGCCTCCTCCCACGTCTCACCGCATGCCGCGCACAACAGCCAGGTGGGCATCACACATCACGCCCACCAGCACCGCAAGCCCATTCCCATGCCTCCTCCCTGCCGCCCATTCCCATTCTCATGCAATCCCTTAACCCATGCCTCCTCCCACGTCTCACCGCATGCCGCGCACAACAGCCAGGTGGGCATCACACATCACGCCCACCAGCACCGCAAGCCCATTCCCATGCCTCCTCCCTGCCGCCCATTCCCATTCTCATGCAATCCCTTAACCCATGCCTCCTCCCACGTCTCACCGCATGCCGCGCACAACAGCCAGGTGGGCATCACACATCACGCCCACCAGCTCGATGCGATACGGCAGCCGCTGCTCACTGCCCCTCCTCTGCCCCCGCCTCTCCCAGCACATCCCGCCTCCCTGCCGTGTCCCTTCCATGCCCCCCTTCCCCTGCCTTTGCCCGTGTCCCTGCGCCCGCCCCTGCCACTGCCCCTGCCCCTTCTTGCTGTTCCAGTAGCTTCCCCTGCCTGATCCCAGTGCTCTCCTAGGACTGCTGTGCCTCTTGGGCCGGTGCTGACCCTCCTTCCCTGGATTTTCCTTCCTCCTCTCCTCCTCCCCATCCCCTCTCTCGCTGCCCATTCCCTCTCCACCCTCTATTGCCCTCCCCTCCTCCTCCCCTCTCTCCCTCCCCTCCTCCACTCTTCTATCACTCTCCCCCTCCTCATCAACCTCCTCCCAATATCGCTCCACCACACTCTCATCCTCCTCCTCCTCATCCTCTTCCTCCTCCTCCTCCTCCTCCTCCTCCTCCTCCTCCTCCTCCTCCTCCTCCTCCTCCTCCTCCACCTCCTCTTCCTCCTCCTCCACCTCCTCCCAATACCGCTCCACCACACTCCCATCCTTTTTCACTTGATACCCCGGGCCCATCCTGAATCTCTTCTCATGCACCCGTCTAGCCATTGCAATCGTCTGCTGCACAAACGGCGCCCATGACATGGTCCCATCAAAGATCACATCGCGCCCCTCGTTCAGCGCGGTTACCAGCGTTGACTGCGCCGCCTGGGTCGACTCCTCGTGGACCAGCTGTGAGATGCGGGCGGCGTCGTTCAGCCATGGGGACGGGCGCATGGGGACGGGCGCATGGGGACGGGCGCATGGGGACGGGCGCATGGGGACGGGCGCATGGGGACGGGCGCATGGGGACGGGCGCATGGGGACGGGCGCATGGGGACGGGCGCATGGGGACGGGCGCATGGGGACGGGCGCATGGGGACGGGCGCATGAGGATGGGCGCATGGGGATGGGCGCATGGCGATGGGAACACAGGGATGGGCGCACGGGGATGGGCGCACGGGGATGGGCGCACGGGGATGGGCGCACGGGGGTGGTAGGGATGCATGTGCTGCCAATAACTTTTGAGTTGTCTTGACATTCCATCCCCTGCCTTGCCTTCCCTTGCCTCCCACCCACTTGTTCCAACATGACCGCAGAGTCCGGCCCTCCTCATTCTTCCCCGTAGAGTCAGCAATTCAGTTGAGTCTCATTCTTCCCCTCCTCTTGTCCCCTCCTCACCTCCCCTTGCCCCTCTCCCCACCCCGTGCCCTCCCACGCACCTGTTCGATCATGAGCGCGGAGTGCGGCCAGTGGAAGCCAAAGTAAGACAGCATGCACGCGTCCAGCTCCGCAACTAGCTCCTTCCCCAACTCCTCTGAACCCCGCCTTAATCCCGCCTCCTCCCCCGCCCCCCCCTCTTCCCCCGCCTCCGCCTCCACCCCCGCCTCCCCCTTCCCCATCACCCGCCCACCCCCCGTCTGTGCGACGAGCGCGAGCAGGTTGGCGCGGCTCTTATCGGATGTGCTCTTATCGCCCCGCACGTAGTCGTCCGCCGCCTGCGCTAGTAGCGCCACCGCCGCCAGGTCCGTGGGGAGACCGAGCTGGCGCACTGGCGGAGGGGGAAGCGGAGCGGCGGACGGGAAAAGGGGGAGTGGCAGAACGGGGACGGGGCGTGGTGGAGAGGGAAGGTGCGTGGCGAAAGGGGGAAGGAGGGGCGGCAGGGGGAAGGGAAAAAGGGTAGGGAAAAAAAAAAAGGCGAAGAGGGACAGTGGGTTGAGACTGGAGCGATATGACTACCGTAGTCAATACCATCGCGGAAAACTCAGCTCCGCGAATTCGACAGCCGGAGGTTTTCTTCCGGAAAAGCGTACTAAAAGTCACAAATAGCTCTCAAAAGACCCCTTCGTCACGAATAAATCACGAATTGCTCAACGCCCATTAGGGAGTTCTGCGGGTGTTGAGGCTCGCGCCGCTCATTTCATGCCACGGGCCGCACATTTTACATTCCCGCGTCAATGTACATTTCGCGAGTCGCACATTTCGGGAGCTGTACACCACTGCGCAGTACGTCGCCGCTATTGTGCTATTGTCATCCAACAGTACAAGAACCCTCAGCTTCACAACCAATTTAATTAGCCCATACGTTTGCAACACTCACGCATCCAAAATAGGGACTCTCATCCACAATAAATCGCCCGCATGTTCACACTCGCAATACACAATTTGATGCATACCTGGGACGATACAAAGATTCTTCGAGGACTGCCAGTCCCATTATCAAAACCCCGAGTATCCTTCCGGATCCTTGATGGGGTCACTTCCGGGTCGTCCCACATCAGACCCAACCGAAAGCCCGAAATCGACCCACCCGACCCGAAAGAGACCATTCGCTCGAACAGTATGCACTGACATTTAAGCGCACTAAGATAGCGATTAATCTCCATTCCCTACTACGTCACCGACGCGGACGCCGCGCACGCACCCACGTATTCGCCGAATCGCTCGATTCGTTTCACTTTGCCCGAACTCGCCGATCGTTCTACCAGCGGAATCAGATGAGCCACGCGCTCCTGCTCCCTTTCCGCGCCGCCGTGCTTCTCGCCGGTAAACACGCTGCGCCACGACAAACGCCGCCGCCCATTGCTGGTCGACCAGCATTTGTATGCGCGTTTGGCCCATTGACGCAGACCGCGCAGTCAGATCAAGGAGAGGCTGACAGCTGTCGCTGCGGCGGCGAACGCGGCTATGATTGGGACTGACGGGCCGCGCCCTCCCCCGCTCAGAGTGATGGTGTTTCCAGCCATAACTAGCCAGGAAAAAAATGTTGTTTACTGTTGTTGTGAATCGGCCCGTCCCATGGCATATGTATGGGGCCAACGCCGCAGTGTTCACAGTCACAATCCAACTTGGGCTTTGGATGAGCTTGTGAGCTGGGGCGGCATGAACCGATTTGGGTCGCGGGGATAGGGTTACTTGACCAAATTTACGCCGAAGTCTGAAAAGGACAGTCGCGAATTTCGCCGATGCGCCTCGCTTGCGCGACGCCGTTGGCTGGTCGCCACGTATGCCCACCGGTTCGTGTATCTCCCATCTTGACGTCTCTGAACAGCGCGCCACCTCACCGATTGGTTGACGACGCGCGTTTTGGATACGACGCCATTACAGTCCAGAAAGCTGCGACCAAGAAAATGAGTACCATACAGTCCCCCACAATGCGTCTTGTACATTCTGCGAGGAATTTCATGGGAAGTACGCGGCTCGACAAATCTATGAACTTCGATCGACATTAGCTGTTTCGGTAAAATAAGCAGCGTATACACGCACTATCAGAAACACACCAGTACATACGAACACTTCTAGCGAGCTGCATGGCACTTTACGACGTTCGCGAATTCCGCAGATTTTTTTAAAGTTAGCAATTGTGCTACTGTACTAAATGAATACCGAGCCATACCAACGCGAGCAATCCCCACCCACCTGTATTCAAATCTTGAACGTTCCATACCATACTGTCCCTGTCCACCAGTACCGTATTTGCAGAAAGGGGACGCTTTCCGAGGCACATCTATGGTACACACACAAGTTTCCGTGCACCTGCACTGCGCATCACTGAGATGAGACACAGCAATATCATTGAGATACAGCACTATCAATGCATGGAGACAGGTCGGCCAGAGGCTCGGACTCCCGAGGCTGTTTCCGAAGCAACCGACGCCGAAGCTCGAGGCTCCGGCTCGTGCTCTGGTGATGCCAGAGTAACAGGGCAACAGTAGGTACCCTGCCTTGTACCATTTGTTCTATCCCCTACAGCACCATCTGGCTTTGCGTGCATCGAGCCAATTGGCTGCTCTAAGTCTTGAGGCGCTGCTGAGTCGTTTTGCTCTGCTGAGTCGTTACGCTCTGCTGAGTCGTTCCGGCGGGCCAGGGAAGCAGCGGAGGAGGAGGAGGAGGATATGGAAGAGGAGGAAGCGGAAGGAGGAGCAGGAGGAGGGGGGTGGCACGGGGAGGAAGTGAGGGAGGAAGGCACGGAAGGGAGGGATTGCAGGGAGGTGAAGCTGGTAGACGAGGTGATGCCTCGGTTGCTGTGAGCTGCCGGCCACAGGCACGCCTGCAGCTCAGTAAACGCCTCCCTCAGTCGAGCCTGCCGCGCCGCCCGCTCCTCCGCCAGTACCACCTCCCTCCACGTGCTGCCCGGCCCAAACTTTTCCCCGCCTGCCCGTGCTGCCCGGTTTCTCCAGCCCCACAGGGACAACCACCATCCGGGCAGCCACCAGAGGTTTCTCCTGCCCCCCCTCCCTCCCTCTCCATCCCCATCCCCCTCTCCCTCCTTAAAGTAAAGCTCGAGAACGCAGGAGGCGCGGGGGTTGACGCGCTTCAAGTCGGAGACCAAATGAAATGCCTCTGAGTCCACCAGCAGGTGGCTGCACACCCCTCCGCTGCAGATGGCGCCCGTGCTGGGGGGCGTGCTTGTAGGCGGTGTGATCATGCTGGTTGGGGTGGACGGTGGGGTGGTTGGTGCGCTTCTCGGGGGTGACGTGCCCTCCTTGTAGCCTATGAGCTGGTGGGGAGGGAGGGAGGGAAAGAGGGCGGGAGGGAGGCGCGGGGATTGACGCGTTTAGAGTTGGAAACCAAATGAAATGCCGCTGAGTCCACCAGCAGGTGGCTGCACACCCCCCCGCTGCAGATGGCACCAGTGCTGGGGGGCGTGCTTGTAGGCGGTGTGATCATGCCGGTTGGGGTGGATGGTGGGGTGGTTGGTGCGCTTCTCGGGGGTGACGTGCCCTCGTAGCCTATGAGCTGGTGGGGAGGGAGGGAGGGAAAGAGGGCGGGAGGGAGGCACGGGGATTGACGCGCTTCAAGTCGGAGACCAAATGAAATGCCGCTGAGTCCACCAGCAGGTGGCTGCACACCCCCCCGCTGCAGATGGCACCAGTGCTGGGGGGCGTGCTTGTAGGCGGTGTGATCATGCTGGTTGGGGTGGACGGTGGGGTGGTGGGTGCGCTCCTGGGGGGTGATGTGCCTTCCTTGTAGCCTATGAGCTGGTGGGGGTGGTGGAGGGAGGGACGGCGGGGTAGAGGGAGGGAGAGAGGAAGGATTCTAGAGTTGCCTGGAAAATCAATCCGTTGATAAGGATGGTGGAGGTAGAGGGGGTGGAAGACGGAGGGAGGGAGGAAAGGGATCAGTGCGAAGGTCAAGTAAGGGCGAACCTGTAAGCTGGTATGCAAAGTACAAAGAGTACAAGAAGTATAGAAAAATACGAGTGAGAAAATGGTGTGAGAAATGCCGGAGTTGACTTGCATTGACTGGCGCTGACTCACAATGACTCAAGTTGACTCACTTTGACTCACTGACCTGAGGTGGCCCTCCCATGTGGTTACTAGAGTAGAGAGTTGCCACGTCAACGAGGTCACAGTATGCGTCCACGCTGCTGGTAAACGGCTTGACTAGCTGTGACTTGCGTTGACATTCGTTGACTCACCTGAGGCGGCCCCCCCATGTGGTTGGTGGAGTAGAGAGTAGCCACGTCAGCGAGGTCACAGTACGCCTCCACACTGCAGCATTGACCCACATTGACTTGCGTTGACTAACCTGAGGCGGCCCGCCCATGTGATTAATGGAGTAGAGTGTAGCCACGTCCACGAGGTCACAGTACGCCTCCACACTGCAGCATTGACCCACATTGACTTGCGTTGACTAACCTGAGGCGGCCCGCCCATGTGATTAGTGGAGTAGAGTGTAGCCACGTCCGCGAGGTCACAGTACGCCTCCACACTGCTGGCAAATAGCTTGTGCGACCGCAGCTGCTCATGTACCGGCACTCCTCTCTTGGTCAGGATGGCGCGCCTGGGGTGGCAGAAAGGCCCGAGGAGTGGGCGGGGAGAGGGGACGTGGAGAGGGGTTGGGTTGGGATGGGTGGGACAGCTTGTGCGACCGCAGCTGCTCGTGCACCGGCACTCCAATCTTGGTCAGAATGGCTCGCCTGGGAGGGAAGGAAGGGCCAGAGAGGGGCAGGGAAGATGTGGAAAGACAGGGGTGGGATGGGAGCGTGGGTGGGGTGATGGAAGGAAGGAAGGAAGGAAGGAAGGAAGGAAGGAAGGAAGGAAGGAAGGAAGGAAGGAAGGAAGGAAGGAAGGAAGGAAGGAAGGCCTAGATGGGAGAGACAAGGTTGGGGTGGGTACAGACGATTCGGGCCCGACGCTGGACACTCACGGAAACGCTGGGCGCTTGGCTTTTGAGAATTCTCAAAAGTCACTCCCATATAGCTGGCGCTTGGCTGAATAGAAAGAATGTCACCCCACAAATATATAGGGTGCTGCTACATTTCCCAACTTTTTGGCCTCTCCTCCTACCCCAAGCCCCATGCCTTACCACACGGTTCCCACCCCACCGCATCCCTCACCCCACCCCACCGCGTCTCACCGCATGCCGCGCACAACAGCCAGGTGGGCGTCGCACATCACGCCCACCAGCTCGATGCGATACGGCAGCCGCTGCTCCCCGGCCCCCCTCTGCCCTCTCCTCTCCCAGCACATCCCCCCTCCCTGCCGTGTCCCTTCCATGCCCCCCTTTCCCTGCTTTTGCCCCTGTCCCTGCCCCTGCCCCTGCGCCTTCTCGCTGCTGCAATAGCTTCCCCTGCCTGATCCAAGTGCTCTCCTTGGACTGCTGTGCCTCTTGGGCCGGTGCTGACCCTCCTTCCCTGGCTGATCCCTCCTCCTCTCCTCCTCCCTCTCCCCTCTCTCGCTCCCCATCTCCTCGCCACCCTCTTGCTCCCTCCCATCCTCCTCCCCACTGATTTTCCCCTCCTCCTCCCCTCTCTCTCCCCTCCCCTCCTCCATCCCGCCCTCACTCCCCTCCTCCACCTCCTCCCAATACCGCTCCACCACACTCCCATCCTCTTTCACTTGATACCCCGGGCCCATCCTGAACCGCCTCTCATGCACCCGTCTAGCCATGGCAATGGTCTGCTGCACAAACGGCGCCCACGACATGGTCCCATCGAAGATCACGTCCCGCCCCTCGTTCAGCGCGGTTACCAGCGTTGACTGCGCCGCCCGGGTTGACTCCTCGTGCACGAGTTGCGAGATGCGGGCGGCGTCGCTCAGCCGCTCGGCGGAGAGTGCGCGGAAGATGGCGTCCTTTTCTTTGAACGCGTCGGCTTCCACGACCACTGCGTGTGGCGCCATGCGCGCCCAACAGGTGCTGTGGGGGGGACGAAAGGGGAAGGATAGAAGGGGAGGGGCGGAAGGAGGATTGAAGAAGCACAAAAGAGCGCTCTGGAGATTTTGTACATTTCCTTGAAGGTGTCTGCTTCCACGACCACTGCATGTGGGGCCATGTGCGCCCAAAATGTGCTGCAGGGGGAAGAAGAGGCGAGAATGGGAGACGAGGGAAGAGGGGACAGAGAGCGCTCGTAAGTTTGCGTACTTTTCCTTGAAGGTGTCTGCTGCTTCCACGACCACTGCATGGGGCTATGCGCGCCCAGAAAGAGCTGCGGAAAAGGAAGAGAGCGAGAGGGGCGGTTGAAGAGAGAACGCTGGGAAGATTGCGTCCTCCTTGAGGGCGCCGGATTCCACAACTAATGCGTGACGGGCCATGCGCTCCCCGAGAGTGCTCAAGGGAAGAAGGACGGGGCAGGGAGGAGCCGCCGGAGAGCGCCGGGAAGCGCTTCTTTGAGAACTACTGCGTGTGGGGCCATGCGCGCCCATAAGGTGCTAGGGGGGGGGGGTTGGGGGAGGAGGGGGGGTGGGTGGGGGGGAAATGTTATGCGGGGAAGGGAGAGTGGTGAAAGGGGAGAAAGAAAGCAGAGGAAAGTCCTGATAGCTCACTTCTAATCAGCAGCAGCACAAGCTTCTTGCAACTCAGCCCTGATAGCCCACGAGCTCTAACTCTCAACACCGCACTGTATGCCTTTGTCTCCCGCAGCACCCCCCCTCACCGTTTCATGATCTCCTTGACCACCGTTGACTTGCCGGCGCCCATGCCCCCACCAATCAGCAGCAACACGGGCGAGCGCACTGCCTTAGCACACTCACTCACCCTATCCCTCAACAATCTATCCCCCTCACCGTTTCATGATCTCCTTGACCACAGTTGACTTGCCGGCGCCCATGCCCCCACCAATCAGAAGCAACACGGGGGAACGCACCGCCGCTGCTGCCGGCACCATCACCTCCCCCTCCCTCAGGACCTCCGCACTTGACGGGCGCGGGCGGGAGGGCGAGCGGGAGGGAGAGTGAGAGTGCGAAGGAGAGCGAGAGGGGGAGTGAGAGGGGGAGTGAGAGGGGGAGGAAGTGGGGAACTGGAAGAGGGAGTGAGAGGGGGAGTGGGCGGTGAGGTGGTCACCCTCAGGGAGTGGGAGCGGGTCTCTGGTGCTCTTTGAGCCTGGCCGGACCCCATTCTTTGAGCGGACTTCACTCCCACTCTCACTCTCAGGGCCATCACTTCCCACTGCTTCACTGCTCTCGGCCGTATCTCTGCCTTCCCGTCCGTACCCCCCTTCAGATGCCCCCCCGTGGGCTCCTTCTCCCTGTCCCGCTCTCCCTTGCCCCGCTCCCCCTTGCCCCACCCCCCCTGCTCCCCCCGGGCGGGGGCCACAGCCGAGGACCTTCATTTCTTCCAGCAGCTGGGAGAAGCGCTGCTGCGGGCGCAGACACGTTATGGCCTCGTTGAACCGCCTCTGCCTGCGTGGGGGGGTGCAGAGCATGATATGGTATGATAGTGCCATTATTACTACAACAACTATTAAAAATGGCATGAATATTAGTTTAAACTACAACAACAATAACAGTAACTCCTGGCACACTGTAACATAGGGAGGTGGGGTAACTAGCTGCAGCTCATGCGGAGTTGGGCTCATTGCAACGGAGGGCCCCTTTTTTTGAGAATTCTCATCGTAATGGGCCAAACTCCGCATCGTGTAGACCTGCAGCGTCTCATCGTGTAGACCTGCAGTGCAGTGCAGCACTCACCGGATGACGGCGTTGACGCGTCCCTCAAGTGCAGGTCAGCTTGCTGCTGGGCCCTCGGAATACCCGTAGGGAGTTTTGAGTCGACTCAAAGCACACCTTTTTGGATACGAGGATGGGGAGACACAGAACGCTGGGTGGGTGGGTGGGTGGGTGGGTGGGTGGCTCACCGGATGACGGCGTTGACGGCGTCCCGCAAGTGCAGCTTACTGCTGGGCCCTCGGAATACCTGCGTGCATAAACGGGACATGCACAGGCGCACACGCATGGATGGGCTCACAGAGATGGGGCAAATGCACTCAGGCAGGGGGCATGCACATGCACATGCACATGTACATGCACATGCCAAGAAGGGAACACGCCCATGCACATGCTCGTGTGCTCAGATTGCTCCCACTGACATAGGCTACCCCGATATCAATCAAAGTGACTTTCGAGCCAACTTTCCAATGACCCGCCGACCCTGGACCTCCCGCCCACCTGTTCGATCATGAGCGCCGAGTGCGGCCAGTGGAAGCCAAAGTAGAGCTCGGCGCGCTCATGCATGAGTCAACCACCCCACCACCCTAACCAGCACCCGTCTCCTTCCCTCACCTTCCTCCCCACTGCCTACTCCCCTCCCCTCACCTGTTCGATCATGAGCGCCGAGTGCGGCCAGTGGAAGCCAAAGTACGACAGCATGCACGCGTCCAGCTCCGCGATCAGCTCCTCCCCCAACTCCTCCCCCGCCTCCGCCTCCCCTTCCGCACTGCCTCCCCCTGTCTGCGCGACGAGCGCGAGCAGGTTGGCGCGGCTCTTATCGGATGTGCTCTTATCGCCCCGCACGTAGTCGTCCGCCGCCTGCGCCAGTAGCGCCACCGCCGCCAGGTCCGTGGGCAGCCCCAGCTGGCGCACTGGCCGACGGGGGAGGCGGAGAGGCGGAACGGGGAGGCGGAGTGGCGGAATGAGAAAGAGGGTGGCGGAAAGGGGACGGCGCGTAGCGGACGGGGAAAGGGAGAGAAACGGCAGGGGGAAAAGGGAGAGAAACGGCAGGGGGAAAAGGGAGAGAAACGGCAGGGGGAAAAGGGAGAGAAACGACAGAGGGAAAAGGGAGAGAAACGGCAGGGGGAAAAGGGAGAGGGAAGTGTGCGGAATGGGAGAAGAGGGGAGGCGAAGACGGACAGTGGGTTGAGAGACTGGAATGATATGCCTACTACTCGCTCGAAAAGTAGGCGCTGATACTTATATCCACTAAGTTAGCGATTAATATTCATCCCTACTACGTCAGCGATTCGGACTCGTCGTGTTTCACGCACCAACGTATTCGCCGAATCGCTCGATCCGTTTCACTTTCCCCGAACTCGCCGACCGTTCCACCAGCGGAAATAAATGAGCCACGCGCTCTCTCTCCTTTTCCGCGCCGCCGTGCTTCTCGCCGGTAAATACGCTGCGCCACGACAAGGCCCGCCGCCCACCGCTGGGCGGCACGCATTTCTGCGCGCGTTTGGCCCATTGACGCAGCCCTCGCAGGCCGACCAAGGACAGGCCGACAGCTGTCGCTGCGGCGGCGAGCGCAGCTATGGTTACGACTGACGGGCCGCGCCCTCCCCCGCTCACAGTGATGGTGCCTCCAGCCATGTCAGGGCAAGAAGGGGCTTTCTGCATCTGTGCAAATAAAAACAGGCTAAAACTAATGTTTTCCATCACACAAGCATGGGGGTGTAGCTCACATGGTAGAGCGATCGCTTTGCATGCGATAGGTACGGGGATCGATACCCCGCGTCTCCAGACACGAGTTTTGATTTTTGTGTCAGCTCGTTCAGACTTTCATTTGTTCGTCAATTTGTTCAGTCTTCTTTCCCTTCGTCACCGCGTCTTCTTGTAAAGAGAATGCTTCCCCAACCACTTCACGTTTGACGAATCAAGATGATCGGAGCAAACAACGGCAGCTTATGAAAAAAGCAGCCTCAATATTGCGGTTCAGTATTTTCGAAGTTGCAGTTTCAGTGAGTAGACTCTATTAGGGTTAGGATGCTCTAGGCACCGGTTTTCTGTCCAGCGCTTGTGCACAAATTTCCCCTTTTCCGCTTGCAAAGTTCCGTGCTGCTTCGCTGACGTCTGTTCACTGCGGTCCTAGGGATTACCGCGTGAAAACGTTTTGCGGAATACTTCGCCATGGCGCCGCAGCATCGCGCCACGCGGAAGCTCCGCGACGCGCTATCGGCGCGCATTGAGGCGTACGAGGCGGACAAGATGGGTCGCCAGGCCGACATGGCTCGGCGCGCTGCAATGGAGCAGAGAGCCGCCAAGAACGGCCGGCTAGCCAGCAACATTAGCGGGGACAACGGTTACATTGGCTATGATCGTGGTGATAGTTCATCAGGCTTAGGGAATAGTTTTTCTGGCTTCCGCAATGCACGTCCTGCTTCAAACGGGGGTTCGTGTTCCCCCCGGAAAATCGAGGAAATCCTGCCGTGCGTTCCCGAGGACGCTCCAATCTCACCGTCGGATTCAGATGACTCGCTAGCAGCGCGCGAGGAAAAACTCCCGTTTCAAGGGCTCAGACGACGGCCTGTGGGACCCACCGCTAGTAGCACATCCCGCATTGTCACATTTGACCCTGCTCTTAGTACCGACCGAGCCGCCTCTTCGTCTTCCTCCTCCTCCTCCTCTTCCTCCGCCGTCTCCTCGTCCTATGGAGGAGCATCGCTCGGGATGCGCACATGGGCGCAGATATCGGCGCGCTTGGCCTGGTTACTCTTCTGCCTCGTCTCCCACGCCAGCCACGTGGCAAATGACTTCACCCTCCTCCTAGGCTTTTTCCTCACCGGGCAGGTGCTCACGCTGCCCGGCGCCGGCGCGTCGACGTCGCAGCACCTTCACCTGCCCGTTTTCGGCGCGACGAACGTGCACATCGGGCCGGCGAAGGGTAACACGTCGGCGAAGTTTATTCGCCCGGGCGTGAAGGGCGGCATCAGCATCAGCCGCATGTGCAAGAACTGCGCCTCGTTCGTCATGTACGCGGGCTGGAACATGCCCGGCGCGCTCGTGACGTGGCAGATGCTGCTCGATGTCGTCACCGCTGTCGCGTTATTGTCCATCCCGATACAGCTCTACGTCTTCGTTAAGAGCTCCAAGGCGAGTGATTATATGCGCTGCTGATTCGCGTGTTTGGATGTTGAGACGTCTCAGTACGAGGCCATGCTTACGAGTGTGGTATGGTAGCCTCGTTTCTCCGTGCCTGCCTGCCTTTCCCAGTCACCCTTTAGTCCCTCGTCCCTCGTTTCTTCCGCCAACTCGATTCAACCTTTCTTCCCTCCCCGTGCCCTCTCTCTCCTTCCCTACCCACCACGTGATCGGCCTCTTTCTGTCGGATCTCCCTTTGGCATGCTCCGCCTCGCCGTCCCTGCTCCTCTGCTCATTCCTCTCCCAACTCTCCTCTCTCCTCTCTCCTCTCTCCTCTCGCCTCTCTCCTCTCTCCTCTCTCCTCTCGCCTCTCTCCTCTCTCCTCGCGCCTCATGCCAGCGAACTCACTCCTCTTCTCCTCCCCTCTTTCCCCAATACCCCTTTCCCCCCGTACAGAAGTTCCCCTACCATTTGCTCATCCTGCAGTTCGGCGCCTTCGTCACCACCACGGGGTGAGTCATGCCGTGCCCATGTGCCACCATGCCATGCCATGCCACAATGCCATGCCCTGCCCATGTACAGCATGCCACACTCATGCCATACCATGCCATGCCATATTGTGCCATTCCATGCCATACCAAGCCCCCTCTCCCACCCCTCCCCACAGCCTGACCCATCTGTTGGAGCTGTTCTCATACGGGCATCTGCCGCGCTTCCTGCTGCTGGGCATCACGGCGTGCAAGCTGCTGTCCGCGCTCATCAGCTGCTGCACCGTGCTGCAGCTGGGGCTCGAGCTGAGCGACATTGCCATGGTGCACGAACGCACCGTGCAGCTCAAGAGCAAGGTGAGGAAGGCTGGGGGGCGAAGGAGGTGAGGAGGAGTTGGGACAGGGCGTGTCATCAGCTGCTGCAGCGTGCTGCAGCTGGGGCTCGAACTCAGCGACATTGCCATGGTGCACGAACGCACCGTGCAGCTTAAGAGCAAGGTGAGGACTGAGTTGCAGAGAGTAAGCTAGTCCCATGCGCCATGCAAGCAAGCTGCTGTCAGCTGCACCATGCTCCCTACTGGGGCCCGAACTCAGCGACATTGCCATGGTGCACGAGAGAACCGTGCAGCTCAAGAGCAAGGTGAGGTTTGGGGGGCGTGTCATCAGCTGCTACACCGTGTGGCTGGGGCTTGAACTCAGCGACATTGCCATGGTGCACGAGAGAACTGTGCAGCTCAAGAGCAAGGTGAGGAGGACTGGGGACTAGACTGTGCTTTGAACAACAACAGCGATCTGATCTGATTTGATACGTATCTGGAGGTCTCAGTGGCCCTCCTCCCTGCTTGCTCTTCCCCTTTCCCACCTCGTCCCGCCCTCCTTTGTCTTGGCCTGGCCCTTGGTGTTCGCCTTTCCTCTGCTCCCACCCCCACCCCCCCATGACTTTTGAGTCAACACCCCCCCGTGCATGCAGACGGAGGAGAGCAACAAGGAGGTGACGCGGCTGATGGAAGCACACGAGGTGGAGCAGCAGCTGAGACTGATAGGCCAGCGCATCCTGTTGTGTGCTAAGCATGTGGTCGCCCGGTTCCCCGCTCCTACTGTCCACCTTTCTCCCCCATCCCGCCTCCAGACGGAGGAGAGCAACAAGGAGGTGACGCGGCTGATGGAAGCACACGAGGTGGAGCAGCAGCTGCGGCTGATAGGGCAGCGCATCCGCAGCACGCTGGACCACGGCGTCATCATCAGCACCGCGCTGCTCGAGCTGCGCGACCTGCTGGGCCTCGAAAACGCCGCGCTCTGGCTGCCCGCCCCTAACGGCCGGTCCCTGGAGCTGACGAATGAGTGCGAGCACCGAGTGAATCCCATGCTCACCCTCGTGCCGCTCAAGGACAAGGTCGTCTCGCAGGTGGGTCATATCACAAGGCACAAGCCATTAACCGCAGCCTTTCAATCCTTCGACCAATCTACACTTCAGGCAAGAGCCTTACGTACTAGAACGAGCTGACCTGCTGGGACTTGGTAACGATGCGCTCTGGCTGCCCGCGCGCGCCCAATGGGCGGTCGCTGGAGCTGACCAACGAGTGCAAGCGAGCACAGAGTGAATCCCATCCCATGCTCTCGCTCGTTCCCCTCAAGGACAAGGTCGTCTCGCAGGTGAGCTCTGCCAGCCAGGCCTTCAGCGCTTGTGCACGTGAAACCCTACGCACTTGAACAGCCTCTGAGTGAGCCCTCGAGAACGCCGCGCTGTGGCTGCTCGCGCCCAACGGGCGGTCACTGGCTGGAGCTGACGAATGAGTGCGAGCACCGGGTCAACCCCATGCTCACTCTTGTTCCCCTCAAGGACAAGGTCGTCTCGCAGGTGAGTTGTGCCAGCCTTTCAGCCCTTGAGCGCGTGAAGAAGCCGTGAGTGAGCCCTTGGGGAACGCCGCGCTCTGGCTGCCCGCGCCTAATGGGAGGTCCCTGGAGCTGACTAATGAGTGCGAGCACCGAGTCAACCCCATGCTCACACTCGTGCCTCTCAAAGACAAGGTTGTCTCTCAGGCATGTGCTGCCAGCTAGCCTTCAAGGCTTCAACAACCCTTGAAGCTCCTGACTTATACCTTTCCCTTTCCCTTTCCAACCGAGCGGCCATGGTCATCCCTTCACCCTGCCAGCTCGTGGAGTCAACTCAGAATTTCCCCGCCCTTCCCGTCCGCTTCCCCTCCTCTCGCCCCCCCCACTCCTTCCATCTTCAGGTGATAGCCAACCGCGCAGCCATGATCATCCCATCATCCTGCCAGCTTGTCGAGTGCTCCGCACTGCCGCCCCCACTAGGCTCGGGCCGAACCATTGAGGGAGGTAAGGCGGCCTGCTGCTTGCTGCGCATCGAGTGGCGGGTGGCTCGTGAGGTGGCTGCAGGTTGCTGCTCCTCTTGGAGTGAGAAGTGTCAAGCTTGAGGGGGGTAGGAGTGAGAGGATTAAGGGGGGTAGGAGTGAGAGGATTAAGGGGGGTAGGAGTGAGGGGAGCCAGGAGATTGGGAACTGCAGTGTGGCATTCTGCTGCTGCTGCTGCAACTGATACCTGAAATGCATTTCTGCCCTCATCCCTCCCACCTTCCCCCTCCCTCCCCTTCTTTCCCCATCTGTTCTGCCGCTCTCCTGTCCCGCCCTCCCCATCCTCCCCCAGGCGCTGCTGCCGTGCCGGTGACACTGGCAGACCCAGCCACGCCGGGAGCAAGGAGCCCTCAGGACGCGGCTGCATTGGAGTATGGCGTGCTCGTGCTGTTGCTGCCTGCTTGTCTCACATGCTCCCCATCCCTCATCGCTCCCCATCCCCTCCCCCAGGCGCTGCTGCCGTGCCGGTGACACTGGCAGACCCAGCCACGCCAGGAGCAAGGAGCCCTCAGGACGCGGCCTCCATGGAGTATGGCGTGCTCGTGCTGCTGCTGCCGGGGGAGGTCGCGGAGAAGGGCAAGGGGGGCGCAGGCGGAGGCGGAGGGGCGGGCGGAGGGGGAGGGGGAGGCGGAGGGGGAGAGGGCGGGTTGAAGAAGTTCCGCCAGGAGGTGCTGGAGAAGGTGGATACGGTTGCTGAGCAGGTGAGCGGGGAGGGGAGATCAGGAAAGGGGAGAGTTTCTTACTTGACTAAGGTATTTTCAGCAGGGAGGTGCTGGAGAAGGTGGATATGGTGGCGGTACAGGTGAGAGGGGAGGGGAGGGAGGGAAGTGGAGGGGGGGGGTGGGCGAGATTTCTGAGATTCTGAGGGGGAGGGGGCGGTCTGATACAGTATCCCTCTCTCCTTCTCTCCTCCCCGGCCACAGCTGGCAGTGGCGCTGCGGCATGCGGGGGTGCTGGAGGCGAGCCGGCAGGCACACGAGGTGTTGCTGGAGGAGGGCGAGCAGCTCAAGCAGGCCAACCTGGAGGGCAAATCCGCTGTCAAGGCGCGAGACAACTTCCTGCAGGTGCGTACTGGACAGGTGCCATCTGCGGCAGGTGCCATCTGCGGCAGGTGTCGTCTGAGACAGGTGCCATCTGAGACAGGTGCCATCTGATCTGGGACAGGTGCCATCTGATCTGAGACAGGTGCCATCTGAGACAGGTGCCATCTGAGACAGGTGTCATCTGAGACAGGTGTCATCTGAGACAGGTGTCATCTGAGACAGGTGTCATCTGAGACAGGTGTCATCTGAGACAGGTGTCATCTGAGACAGGTATCATCTGAGACAGGTGCCATCTGAGACAGGTGTCATCTGAGACAGGTGTCATCTGAGACAGGTGTCATCTGAGACAGGTGTCATCTGAGACAGGTGTCATCTAAGGCAGGTGCCATCCGAGGCAGGTGCCATCCGAGGCAGGTGCCATGTGCCATGTCAAGCTAGTATTGTCGTGGTGTAGTTTTTTATTAAGACAGGTGGGATCTGGGGTGGGTGCTCTCTCAGTCATGCGTTGTTGTGGTCCCTTTTGACCCGACCTTTCTTTTCTTTTCCCCCCTTCCCTCTGCAAGTGATGAACGTCAAGATGCGCACGCAAATGCACCCCGTCACCGTGCTCTCCCGTGTCCCCGTGCCCTTCCTTCCCCACTCCCCCATTTTCTCCCTACACCCCCTCCGCCCCCCTCCCCCCTCCGCCCCTCTGCCCCCTCTGCAGGTGATGAACGCCAAGATGCGGACGCCAATGCACTCCATCACGGCGCTCTCATCCCTCCTCGCCGAGTCGGACCTGAACGACGAGCAGCGCTCCATGGCCGAAACCGTCGCCTTCTCCTCCACCCTCCTCGCCTCCCTCCTGTACGACATTCTCGAGTTCTGGCGACTGGAGGAGGACAACATGAAGCTCGTGCTGGGCCCCGAGCAGTTTGAGCTGCCGGCTCTGGTGACCGAGGCGGAGACGTTATCATCCCCCATTGCAAAGGACAAGGGCATCATGCTGACGTTCAAGGCGGATCCGAACCTGCCGGAGAGTGTGATCGGGGATGGCAACCGGCTGCTGCAGGTGCGTTGGTATGGGAGCGGGCAGTAGAGAGGATGTATGACTGGATCTTTGAGGCGCCTGGAGGAGGAGGACAACATGAAGCTCGTGCCCGGCCCCGAGCAGCTTGAGCTGCCTGCTCTCGTCACCGAGGCGGAGACTCTGTCGTCGCCCATTGCCAAGGACAAGGGCATCATGCTCACCTTCAAGGCGGACCCGAACCTGCCGGAGAGTGTGATCGGGGACGGCAACCGCCTGCTGCAGGTGCGTTGGTTTGTGGGAGTGAGTGAGTGAGCAGTAGAGGTATACGACTGGGGTGTTTGAGGCGCCTCTCAGGCCTCAAGAAACGCCTGTGACAAGCTGTGGCACCTCCGCACTCGTAAGTGTTCTTGAGTTACCTGCACTCTTTTGAGACGTCTCAAAAGACGTCTCAACACTCGAGCCTCAAGAAACGCCTGTGACAAGCTGTGGCACGAGAATGTTGTTGAGTTGCCCGCACCGCACTCGTCGGCACCCAGGTGGAGGCTCTATCCTCCCCTCTTGCCAAGGACAGAGGCATCATGCTCACCTTCAAGGCGAAGCCCCACCTCCCTGAGAGCTTAATTGGGGACAAAACAAAGGTTGCTATTTGAGCTGTTTTTTTAGAATTCTCAAAAACCAGCCCAACCTTCCTGAGAGCTTAATTGGGGACAAAAGTCGCTATTTGAGTCGACTAAGAAATTGACCTGCCTGAGAGCATGATTGGGGACAGGAACCGGCTGCTGCCGGTGCGTGCGTGTGGTTTAGCGGCATAGCTTTCCATCAAGCACGTGGGTGGGAACCTAAGCCCACTCATACACACACATTATACCCCCTGCCCCCTTTCACCCTCCCGCTCTTCCCCCCAGGTGCTGCTGAATGTGATAAACAACGCCATCAAGTACACAAACACGGGCACCATTACAGTCACCGTCGCCCCCGAGCGCATGGAGTGGGCGCGCGACGGATTCGTGCTCAAGGCGGAGGCGGGGCACACGTTCATCCGCTTCGAAGTCAAGGACTCGGGCGTGGACCTCCAGGCCGCCGACATCCCCAAGCTGTTCGACAAGTTCCAGGAGGACGAGACCAAGGGGAGCAGGACTGGATTGGGTCTTGCCCTTTCCCGGAAGTTTGTGCAGGTGAGGCTTTGGGGTGAGAGCTGGGGCGAGAGGGTGGGAGTAGAGGGTGGGGTAGCAGCTTGAGGCTTTGTGCTCAAGGCGGAGGCGGGGCACACGTTCATCCGCTTCGAAGTCAAGGACTCGGGCGTGGACCTCCAGGCCGCCGACATCCCCAAGCTGTTCGACAAGTTCCAGGAGGACGAGACCAAGGGGAGCAGGACTGGATTGGGTCTTGCCCTTTCCCGGAAGTTTGTGCAGGTGAGGCTTTGGGGTGAGAGCTGGGGCGAGAGGGTGGGAGTAGAGGGTGGGGTAGCAGCTTGAGGCTTTGTGCTCAAGGCGGAGGCGGGGCACACGTTCATCCGCTTCGAAGTCAAGGACTCGGGCGTGGACCTCCAGGCCGCCGACATCCCCAAGATCTTTGACAAGTTCCAGGAAGATGAAACCAAGGGGAGCCGTACGGGTCTCGGCCTGGCGCTCTCAAGGAAGTTTGTGCAGGTGAGGGCTGGGATTAATGGTGGGGTGAGAGAGAGAGGGAGTTGGGGGTAGGGTTGCAGGCTGAAGCGTGAGTATATGGGAAGGGGGGCGGGGATGTGGAGAGGCTTTGTGCTCAAGGCGGAGGCGGGGCACACGTTCATCCGCTTCGAAGTCAAGGACTCGGGCGTGGACCTCCAAGCGGCCGACGTCCCGAAGCTGTTTGACAAGTTCCAGGAAGATGAGACCAAGGGCAGCAGGACTGAATTGGGGCTGGCGCTCTCCTGCAAGTTCGTGCAGGTGAGGCCTGGGTTGAACCCGGGGGGGACGGGGCGGGGTGCATGGGGGGACGGGACGGGGCGTGCAGGGCAGCAGGGGCTTTGTGCTCAAGGCGGAGGCGGTGCACTTCGGCTCCCTCTAGGAAGCATGTTTAGGTGAGGGTGGGTGATGGTCGGAGTGAGAGGAAAGCCACTTGAAGATTCATAAGGTGCCTCCCTCTCTGCGTTTCTCCATCCATGCGTCTCTGCCTCCTTGCCCACATACCAGCTGATGAACTAGCATATCTGCATTTTCCCTCCCTGCTTCCCCTCCTGCCTCTCTGCCGCCCCCTCTGCTACCCTTCCTCCCTCCCTCCCTGCCTTGCTGCCTCCCTGCCCCACTGCCGGAACCGCAGCTGATGAACGGGCACATATGGATGGAGAGCAACGGGCGGGGCAAGGGGGCGACGTGCAAGTTTCTGGCCATGCTCAAGCTCCCTGCCTGCCTGCCTGCCTGCCTGCCTGCCTGCCTGCCTGCCTGCCTGCCTGCCTGCCTGCCTGCCTGCCTGCCTGCCTGCCTGCCTGCCTGCCTGCCTGCCTGCCTGCTTATAAACGCGAACATCGGGATAAAGAGATCGCTCTCATGCCCCCTTCTCCCCCTCCCTCCCTGCCTCCCTCCCTCCATGCCTCCCTCCCTCCATGCCTCCATCCCTCCCTCCTGCCCCTCCCGCGTCCACGGCAGCTGATGAACGGGCACATCTGGATGGAGAGCAACGGGCGCGGCAAGGGCGCGACGTGCAAGTTCCTGGCCATGCTCAAGCTGGACGCCGAGGGCAGCGACCGCAGCGACGAGGACGAGGACGAGGGGCCCGACGTCAACTTCTTTGCTCTGCGGGTGAGATGATCATCGTGGTTGGAGGGGAGGGGAACAGTGGGGTTGGAGGTGAGGGGAGTGACTGGTGGGAGGAGGACCCGGGCGAGAGGGGCCGCGGCAAGGGCACGACGTGCGAGTTCCTGACCATGCTGAAACTCGACGCCGAGGGCAGCGACCGCAGCGACGAGGACCAGGACGAGGGGCCCGATGTCAACCTCTTTGCCCTGCGGGTTAGGGGAATGTATGGGGAGGAGGAGGGCAGTGATGGGCAACTAGGGCGATGGAGCAGGGGAGGAGGAGGGCAGTGACGGCAGCGTCGAGGGCCGGGACGAGGGGCCCGATGTCAACCTCTTTGCTCTCCTACGACTTCCTAGAAGGACGTGGTTGTCGTGACAATGGTGATGGGTGACAGTATGGTCAGCAGGCTGGTATAAAATCTTAGCCGAATCTCGAAGCTCCTTTCTTCCTTCCCCCCCTTTCCCCCTTCTTCCCCCTCCCTTTTTCCCATTCCCCCCCTCTCCCCCCTTTCTCTCCGTCCCCCCTTCTTCCCCACTTTTCTCCCTTGCCCTCCCTTTCCCCCGTTTCCCTCCCCCAATCCACCCATGGCAGATCATGGTGGTGGATGACAACATGGTGAACCGACTAGTGACGAAGCGTCTGCTGGACCGCATCGGCATCTCAACGCGCGTGGTGGAGTCAGGCAAGGAGTGTCTGCGCATCCTGGCGGAGGAGCAGGACGAGGAGAAGTACGACGTGTTGCTGCTCGACCTCATGATGCCCGAGGTGGGTTGGTGGGGGGGAAGGGAGGCGCAGGGGTGGGAGTGGGTGTTAATCAAAGCAAGGTCAGCACGGGAGGAGCAGGACGAGGAGAAGTATGATGTGCTGCTGCTTGACCTCATGATGCCCGAGGAGGGTTTGTTGGGGGGAGGGGGAGGAGGGGAGGGGGAGAGGGGATGGTGGTTGAGGGGGGTGTCCTCTTGGCCTAGTCGCATCCTGACGCAGGAGCAGGACGAGGAGAAGTACTACGTGCTGCTGCTCGACCTCATGATGCCCGAGGTGGGTGGGGTGGGGAGGAGGGGTTGGGGGAATGGGGGTAATACTCCTTCGAAGCACAACGTTGGGTGGAATAATCAAGGCGAGGTCCATTCAGGTACACTCTCCTCTCCTTTAGATTACGCCGTTTAGCATTCCACGCTTGTGCCGAGCCAACCCTCACAGCCTGTCTCTGCTCAGGCTCCCACACCCCACACGGATGGACGGGTACACGGTGGCCTTAAAGATCCGCACAGAGCTCAAAGCAGGACCTGCAGCCGACGGTAGTTGCACCCTTGCGCCAACCCTCACTCACAACCCGCCTCTCCCCCCTTAACCTCCCCAACACTTTCACCTCCCCCTTCCCCTCCCAACCCCTCCTCCAGATGGACGGATACACGGTGGCCAACAAGATTCGTACGGAGCTAAAGGCAGAGCTGCGGCCAATGATAGTGGCGCTGACGGCCAACGCGGACGAGACGACCAAGGACCAGTGCCTGCGCCACGGCATGGCCGGCATGATCACCAAACCCATCTCGCTCAATGCGCTTCGTGACGTGCTCGGGAAGATGCTCGACCAAAACGCACGGAACAACTGAGGAGGCGTGAAGGTGCTTGGGAAAATGCAAGATTAAAATGCACGGAATCACTGGGGACTTGTGAGATGGAAGCAAGGCAAGATATTTGTGGTTGTGACCTATGTGGTAGTTAATTGAAGTAATGCAAGATATTAGTGGTCCTGATACCCTTTGCAACGATGTTTATGATTATGCTTGCATTTTGCCAGTCATTCTGGATAGTCACCCAGGTAATACCAGCATAGCAATATTTGTGCGGTAAGTTATATAAACTTGGTGGAGTTGAAGGATCCCCTGTGGAGGTAGCAACATAGCAATTATTGTGTTCGCAAATGCGTAATACTTATCGGTACATTCCTTGTAGGTATTGAATGAAGCTGATCCTGACAAAATCCCCTGAGATCCCACCAACCTTGCGGATCCCAATTTTCTGGGGCAGCTCTGTATTCTCATAAACGGGAAAACTCCCTCTCCCAGGTTTGGGATCTTTGCTTTCACAAGTTTTGTACAAATTGAATGGATGAATGCTGCTCGAAGTATAAGCAGAGCCAGGTGAATACATGAATATAGCTGCCTGGTTTGAGGAGGACACTTCAGGCAAGAAGGGTGGTTATTTAGCAATCTTTGGACGTATCCGAATCACCCCAGCATAGCCATGGCAAGGTGGGTAGGCGTCACACTGAGGGTCCGTGCTGAATTCTTGGAATCGTAACTAAATGAATGGGAATCGCATTTCTGAGATTCTACTCGAATACAACATTTGAGGGTACAGCGCACATTGCATTTGCTCTGAAAAATCATACGAACTAAGTTCTATCGGGAAGGGGAACCAGAAAGCAAAACAACAGCGGTCAACAACAGTGATGTTCTTTTCACCTGAATCACACCTGAAACTCTACCTGAACTCAACTGCGGTGCGATAAGTCACAATCACCTGGCTTTGCCTCTGATAAGTTTTCAGGTTCGTTCATATAGCCGGCTTTTGGACGAATCGCGCAATACCGTCCAGCCATCCTAGCTTCAGGGTCCAGGTAGGGTTCATTTTTCGGATCCCTTTGGGGAATACCCTACGTATCTGTGTTATTTAATTATCGCAAAATGACACATATGAAGAAGCCTCAAGACAAGCACTTCCGTTTATTCAGGTAAACGCCGAATGAAGAGTGCTAGTGTTCCACTGAGCAGCTGTTTCCTCAGTTGATATCTCCACTCTCGATTAAAACCGGAGTCCCAAACAGCCCAAAACTGCCTCAACCTTCCTAACTTTGGTTGGGCGTGACCGAGTTGATACCGACTCTCCTCGCAAATTGTTGGGACGATTTTCGCCAAGCGAAATTACTGTTCTCGCGAGGACGACAGCAGTGACAACTTCGCAAACAAAAATGCAGCCCGTCCGAAACAGTTTGCGAACCCGTTCGGACGTAGCATTCCAGATCTGGTTACACTCGCGAGTTTATAATACTTTGCGACCCGCTACCACTGATTTCGACACCACCCTGGCTCGCGAGCCAGTCACTTTTCTTGCCCCTATCAACCTTCCTAACTTCGAAACTCTTGGACCTCCGGTATGCTTCCGAAACGACTTGAATGTGTCTGATTTACTATGCGTCGCTCCCCCAAAAACTCCGGGTAGACGAAATCATCCGAATGTTGGCGATATTCCGGTACAATTGTGCGCGACTCGATCGATCAATTTCCACCACGCCTTATCACTTCTTCCCCCAGCCACCTGCCCTTGCCCTACTTCTCCAGACACTGAGAAGTATACAAAGCCAACGAGGCAATTGATGTTTTTCAGAACACCCAAGCTCTGTCCTGGGTGTTGAATATAGCAATCAGTTAGGATTTCCTCCAGAGAAGCTCCGATCCAGTTCTCCACGATGGCGCGTTTGGCTTTCCTCGTCGCATCCCTGTCAGTGCTTCTGGTGGTGGCTTCTGCTCAGAAGCCAACCCTTCAGACTGGACCCAGCAACCCGACGGTCAACCTCGATCAAGCCAAGGGCGCGAATGGCGTCGTGACGAACGTCCCTACTAGCATCGAGAAGGCAGCGGATGACGGCAAGCTGGCTTCATTGAAGGGCCAGACCGTCGTGAGCACGACCACTGACAGTATTCTGCTGGTGGCCGTGAAGAATTCCGCGTGGAACGCCATGAAGTGCAAGAACGGCATGAAGGGTATGGACGCGATTGGCAAGGGTGCGTGCACTCCTCAGAACTGCTCGTTCGGTGGCATCGCCGCCAAGTGGAAGACGTCGAACCTGCTCAAGAACAAGCTGGGAGTGGAGGTGTACGTGAAGGGCAACCCCCTGACGGTGAAGAAGGCGTCCCCGCAGACGTGCTGCAACTCGTGCGCGGGCTACCCCGGCTGCACGTACTGGCAGTACATCCCCGATATCACCATCGACGGCAAGAAGTCGGACGGCGCGTGTTACCTGGTGCACGACAACATCGACTTCACCTGCGGTGAGATGACGGCGCAGTATGCCACGGACTCGAAGCCCATTCAGCTGCAGGTGCGCACGGGTGGCGAGTGCAACCCATTGGCGAAGGTCGCTAACGACCCGCATCTGGTGGGCGCGTACGGGACGCACTTCGACTTCAACGGGCGCCCAGACAAGGCTTTCTGCCTCCTGGCTGACAAGGACCTGCACATCAACATGCTGCTGCGCGGTTACTACTCTGACGACACTGAGAATGCGGCGCTCGTCGTCGACGGCAAGGCCGTGCACACGTGGATCAAGGAGCTCGGCATCATCTGGTTCGCCAACGGCGCCGACCACATGGTGCGGCTCGCGGCGCGCGGCGGCAAGCAGCAGGAGCGCGGCGACGGATTCATGAAGACCATCGAGATCGACGGCAAGGTGATGCCGAGGATGAACGTCGGCGACGAGGTGACGACTGAGGGCGGTCTGACTCTGCGATTCGCGGCGCTGGAGAAGGAGGGTCCGTATGACGTGGACTACTACACGCTCGCGATCGACGGGCTCGTGGCGCTCGACCTGCGCCTGCGCGTCGCCAACCCCAAGCTGCAGACCCCCAACGACGCCGAGGCGCACATCAACGTGGGGATTGTCGAGCTGGAGCACACCGACGACGTGCACGGCGTGCTCGGCCAGACGTACCGCCCCGACCACGCGGAGCGCGCCGCCAACTTCCAGAAGCTGATCGCCAACCTGCACCGTCCGATCTCGGCGGAGAGCGAGGAGGGCGCTGGGTTCCTTGACGGCACTCCCCGCATGTACGAGTCGAGCTCCGTGCTGTCCGTGGACTGCGCGTACACCGAGTACCACCGCGCCAAGCAGCTGAGCCCCCTGCAGTAAAGAAATGGAATCCGTGGGTGATTTCGGTGGGATTTTCTTCGGTGGGCTGATTTGGTTGGCTGATTTATGCGCAGAATACCTGCGTATTTGTATTGTAGGTGGGCTGGTATTGCTTTGTAACTTCATAACTTAATTCTTTCAGTGATATTGATTCCTTTTCTATTCTGCTGCAGCCGCACTGCACTAGCCCCAAAGCTGAATTCTTGTTTAGAGATGCAGGTGATCTTGCAAATCTGAGGTTCAATTATATGTAACTTGTTTATCATCAGTAGCTATAATTATGACAAAAAAACGTCATTTCTTGTCCTAGAGCGCAACATGGAGGAGGCATTGGCTCTACACAGCATGCATTGGCCCATGCTGCGATCAGGATCACCTCGGGAAGGTTCACACACTTCTAGTCTAGTGGTGGTGGGCCCTTGACCTCAATGGCAGAGTGAATGTAAATGCTTGAGATGATAAAAACATGCAGTACAAGAAATATAAATAAGAGTACAAGGGAATTCGAAACGACCTAGCTAGCCATGTACTCCAAGGGGTACATTCCCTTATTGCATCGAGATCCAACCGTGCGACTCCGGGTGGTTACGAAACCGTACGGGCAGAATCCCTGCGACTACTGCTGCCTGATGCTGTCTGCCCGACGGTCCAGATGCTTCTCGTAACCGTGTGACCCTTCGTTTCACTTGCGCCCTTTCATCTTCATTCTCGGTAGTGCGTGCCTCGATTGCTACGGAGGGGAGTGCATAATAGTGTTTCAATAACCACTATTCGTAACACCCCCCTTCACTCCTGGTCGTAGCGAGCATTGACCCGCTTGACTACCCCGCTGAGTTCGGAGCAGTGCTGGTACTGCTGACGCGGCAGTTTCTTCGTGAGGAAGTCTGCTGCCATGTCACCAGTCGGGCAGTAAGTCAGGTCAACCTTGCCTTTGTCAACTTCGTCCTTGACGAAGAAGTACCGCAGTGCGATGTGCTTGGTGCGGTTGACGAATCCAGGTTTGTTCGCGATCCTGATCGCACTCTGGTTGTCGCAGTGCAGACGAAAATTCGCCGAGGTCGGGATTTTCGCCTCCTGCAGCAGCTCCTGAAGGTAGAGACCTTCGCGAACAGCCGCTGTTGTTGCGATAAATTCTGCTTCTGTCGATGACAGGGCAACCAATTCCTGCTTCTGAGAATTCCAGGAGATGGGGCCGCTGAGCTCGAGGCGGAAGAGGAATCCTGTCCTGGACCGACGATTGTCAGGATCAGCGGCGTGATCGGCGTCCACATAGCCGATGAGACTGAAGGATTCGGTTGGGATGGTGGAGTAGCAGAGCCCGACATTGGGCGTAGAGATGAAGAATTGGAGGGCTCGCTGAAGATCTGAGAGATTCTTAGCCGTTGGTTTGCGTGAGTACTGAGCCAACTGGCTCGCGATGTATGAGAGGTCGGGCCTGCAGGTGACGGACGCAAAGAGCAAGCATCCCAACTGCTGCTGGTAGGTGTGAAGTCTAGCAGGGGACAGGGCTTTGTTGTCAGGTTTGTGGTTGGGTCCTGGAGTGCGGTAAGGGGTGGAGAGTGGTGCAGGTGAGATGTTGAAGCGCTTGCTTAGCTCCTCTGCATATTTCGCTGCTGAGAGATGAATGGCTTCCGGCGAGTAGGTGACGTTGAGCCCGAGAAACTGCTTCACGTCATGATTGCAGGTAATGTCGACGTGCCCTGCGAGACTCTTCTCGAATTGCTCAAGCAGTTCATTGCTTGACCCTGTGTAGAGAAGGTCGTCGACGTAGACCGTAAGCAGGTTGTATTCGCCGCGGAAATTGCGGCGATACATCCCAGGGTCGTGAGGCAGCTGCTTGAATCCGATTTCAAGCAGTATGTTGTGCAGATACTGCTGCCAGAGTCTCGGCGCCTGTTTAATCCCATACAAGGACTTGCGTAGCTGACAGACACGTGGGTCTCCGTCTCCGTAAGTGTGCGGCTGCTCGACGTAGATCACTGCATCTACTAACGCGTATAGGAACGCGTTCTTCACATCAATCTGTCGTAGCGGCAGGTGTCGTGCGGCTGCGATGGCGAGGAGAATTCTGACGGACGTGTGTCGGCTGACCGGTGCGAACGTCTGGTCGAAGACGATTCCATGCCTTTGATCGTAGCCTCGCACCACCCATCGTGCCTTGAATCGCTCGATTGTCCCGTCAGCTCCTGTCTTCACGCGGAAGACCCATTTGCCGGAGAGGATTTTTCTCCCCTTCATTGCTGCACGGTCGACGAGCACCCAGGTGTCGCGTGACTCGAGTGCCCGGATTTCCGCATCCATTGCTTCACACCACTCCTTGCTGTGTGGGCCTGTGAGAGCTTGCCGTGGGTTTTTAGGCTCGATGATGCTCGGAGCAGTGGAGATGGCAGCGTGAAGTCCCAGTAGCTGAAGGCCAGTAACGGTGCTGTCGTGGCGATGTTGAGTGACGACTTCCTGCACGTCGTCATCATCGCTTTCTGGTTCAGATGGCGCTGGTGGTGCTGTGCCTTCGTCGCTTCCGCTTCCTCCTGCTGCGCCTTCTCCTGCTGCGCCTCCTCTTGCGCCTGCTCCTCCTTCTCCTGAATCATCGTCGTCGTCGTCGTTGTGACGATCGCCTCGCGTTACGTAGGTCCAATAGATCGGCGGGAGCTTCGACTGCCTCATTAGCGCCCGCACCTTCGTCATGAGGGTGCGATTCGTGCGCTCTGCTACGCCCTGCTGCTGGTGCGCGTAGGGGAGAGAGATGTGGTGCTCGATCCCCTTTTGCCCAAGGTAATCTTGCAGCTCCTTGCTCCTGAATTCTGCCGCACCGTTGGACTGCCAGATCTTCAATTTCTCCCCAGATTGCCGCTGCGCGTGCGCCAGCCACAGGCGGAACGCTTCGTAGGCTCTGCTGCGTGCTTCCACGTTTACGACCCACACGCGGCGCGTTCCGGCGTCGACGAAGGTGAGTGTGTAGAGCTCGTCGTTGATGCCGCAGTGTCCTACGTTGAGAAAGTCACTGTAAACTCTCTCCAGCTTGGCGTAGCGATTGGTTCCTGGCTCGAGCAGGGGGAAGGGCTGGTGACTCAGCGCAGCTTTGGGGCAGATGGTGCAGGTGCGCGGGTGAGTTCCGCCTCTTACTTCGGAGCCGTCAGGGCGCAGCAGTGCGCCAGGTGCGAAGACACCGGCCTCAATGCAGTTCTTCAGGGTCACGCGCGAAGGGTGACACAGGCGTTGGTGCCAGATGGTATCGTCGGCGCGGAATCCGGAGGTGCGCATGTAGCGCGCGAGTGCTTCTGCGGGGTCTTCGTCAGGTGCTGGTGCAGGTGTAGGTGCTGCTCCCTCGTTCTCTACTTCTTCTTCCTCGTGCGCCGTTGTTAGCATGAGGGCAAGAAATTCTCTGTCGCGGATGATTGAGTAGGAGATGTTGGTCCCGGGGATCGTGCCAGGGATAAAGGTCGGTTCACGCGGTTCAGGGGCAGGTCCGTAGACAGTACGACGTGGGGTGGATGGCTCATTACCCCAGTCAATGGTGTCCCAGGGGTCACTTCCTGAAGGGATATCTGGTGGCGGTGGTGCTAATGCAGGGCGGCGCGGAGGGCGTCCGAGAGGAACAACGGGAGGTTCTGCCTCAACTTGCGCAGGTTCTTCCTCCTCTTCCCCCCTTTGATCCTCGCGGAAAGCTCCCCAGCCGCTCGTCTCGCCGCCTTGCGTGGCGCCCCATCCGCCGACATTTTCGCCTGTTGCTGCGCCCCATCCGCCGGTTGCGGCTCCCCACTCGCCAGTGTCGCTCGTTCCCCATCCGCTAGCACTCCCCCACCCCCCTTCATTGGAGGCGCTTTTCTCGTCGTGCTCCCAGGCGAGTGTTCCACGCGCTTCGGCGAGACTCTTCTGCCGAAGCTCTTCGGCTTCGCGTTGCGCCAGCGCCTCTTCCTCCGTAGGCGAGAGTTGCTTCTTTGAATCACGCCGGTGAGAGTAGATCTCCGCCCCTTCTTTTCGGTGTAAGGTCATGGGTTGCCATGTGCGTCGAAGGTGCCGACGCCGACGCCGCGGAGCAGTCCTTGGAGATGTTGGGATGCGGGTCCGGGGAGAGGATGTTCCGGTGTGCCGAATACGACCCGTGTAGCTGTCTCCAGCTCCAGTTGGGATAGACCCTCCTCAGGCGGTGCGTCACGTTCAACTTCGATGATGGCGGCAAGGCCGCGACCGGCGATCGCGCTCGTCGAGGACGTGTGTGTGTGGCAGTCCCTGCAGACGCTGTCAGGATCGGGGTCGTGCAGCGCCAGCTCGCGCGGGTGTGGGTGGTGTGGCACCCAGGGGCGCCCATCAGGGTGCTTCCAATCGCGGCGATGAATGTGTTTGAAGCGCAGGGGGACGAGATCAATCAACTCCTGCGAATCGCCGCTGCAGTCGGGAATGTCGAAGTCGAGAACGTATACTCCGTTCTCGGCGCGCGCCCGTCCGATCTGCTTGCGCTTCTTGTTCGGCATTGTGAAGTGAAGCAGAATGTCGCGCGTCTCGGGGTCGGTGCTGAAGAGGACTCCGCAATCCAGGAGTTGCGCCGCCGAGAGTAAGTTGAAGCGCAGGTTCTGCACAATCAACACGTCGTTAAGGGTGATGTGCGTTCTGCTCTCTCGTGCCTTGAGCACCACAATGCCTTGCGCGCTTGCGCGCAGCCGTGTGTTGTTCGCCACAGTGACGTAAGTGACGGCGGGGGTGGCGACGGCGTTGGATATGTAACGCTCGGAGCCCACCATGTGCTGCCCACAGCAGTTGTCCAGGTACCACTTGTTGTAGTGCCTGTTGTCGTTTTGCGCGAGCAGCGCCAGTCGCGGAGTGACGATGTGTGGAGTGTCGACTTTCAGAAATTGTTCGCGCGCGATCCAATCGATCGGTGCCGGCCGCATGTCAGGTACGTGCGGGGGGCTCTCAAGCAGCGGGTCTGGTAAGTTCCAGTCCTGGTTGTCGTCGTCGCTGTAGTCGTGATGCGTACTGAACGGATTGTTGTTCGAGGACGC